GTTTAAGCGGTCACTGACAAACGAGCGATAGTCGGCCAAGTCTTGTTGGGATTTGTGTAGAGCATTTTCGAGCGCGCGAATCTTACGCATTGCCTGCGAGAGGTCAGAAGGTGCTTGCTGGTCATTTACGATCTCCTCATCGTCCGACCAATCGTCCAGCTGCAGTTCTGTCTGTATATCAGTACTCCGCATGTTTACAGCTATGAAAACGCCGGACTCACGCAATAGAGGGTCATCTTCGATCACTGGTATTAGATATTTGTCTTCACGCAGGAAGTCCTCCTTGCCTGTTAATACCTTGACATTCGCGGGGGATGGGGTCTAGACTGAATTATCAGCCGCAAAGTGGACCGGGATTGCGGTTATTACTTGCCTCCTTGCGAATCCAGTTTATCAAGCGTATCCGCTGATGTGTGTCCAGGGCTACAAAACGAGCATAAGCAAGAGGATAAGCACGGCACAACTCAGGCACGCACCCAATCGTGAATACACCCCGCTCAGATCAAAGCCGTGAGTCTTCCTGTCGTGCTCTAATGCCTCCGCGACGGAAGGAAGTGTGGCATCGTCGAATAACGACTTGCAAGGCTGCTTTTCCATAGAGCCTTCCACCCAGTCTTCCCAAGTGTCGTCCTCGTCCTCATCCCCGGACGAAGACTCTTCGTCTAGTCGACGGGCGTCATTGGAGACATCGTCCAGTGCCTCGGCCGGTATCCGGAATGTCGACATGTCTGGATCGTTCAGGCAGGCCGTGAGACAACGGCGGGAAAAATCAGCATACCGAGGACGCCTCTGCGCTCAAGTTTATCAAGATCAACCTTGCTTAATTGCCTGATACAGGAGCTGATCGCCGGGCAGGTGATGAGCATACCACCTCACGGAAAAGACAGAAGTAATAATGACTCACTTAAAATACTGAAAAAGAAAGCAAATACCACACACAAGTCGCTGGCAGAGGTTAACTATCAGAGAGCGAGATACCGAGGATCCAGGAAGGGGCAGGAATGTCTAAATTGAATATTGACCTCATTGGGCGCCTGAAATTAATTATCACGTGAGCTTCCCCTATTTCGGAGAAGTAATCAAGCGGGATTGATCCGTTTATTGATAGACGCGCATTAACTTTGCTTTTGTCCGCGGGCTATAATCATGTTCGGGTTCACAGGCTTTGGACTTATTGTTATCGAGTACCTCCGAAAGCCTCTAGAATACATCTTGAACTCGAGCCCCTGCCTCTAGACTTGTTCCAAGTCTATATAGCTTGAGCTCTGTACTCTTCCCTTTACCCGCGTCTTTCATGCTGGCGCCATGGATCCTCTTGCAGTCACAGTCCTCAGCCTCCTGGCGGCATGCCTCCTGATTCTAACAGCATATTTGGTGAATCTTGCTATCCTAAGTCCTCTCAGGAACCCCCTTAGGCAGCTCCCAGGCCCGCCGAGCAAATGGTACATGGAATGGAGACATATGGCCCTTACAATGGAGTACGTTCCTCCCTATACTTGGCCAAAGCAGAGGAACGTGGATCGCAACCTGCAGCTCCATTGCTTTACTTTACCCATGTTAGACCGAGGCTGACTCGTTTGTAGCCCACGAAGGTCGCCGCACACTGGCGCGGAGTTCGTAGCGAAGTACGGCCGGAATGTCTACATTCGCGGTCCAGTGCCGGTACGTTGGCATGCTTTAGCTGGCACTAAGCGTACTGAGAATATGCAGTGGGACCAACGCCTCTTTACATTGGATCCAGTAACGATGAACCACATACTTCAGAACACCACGACCTATGAGAAACCCTGGCCCAGTCGCCGCCTGATCTCAGGACTCATCGGCCAGGGCATGCTCTCCGCAGAGGGTCAGAAGCACAAACGACAGCGGCGCATCGCTACGCCAGCCTTCTCGATGCAAGCGATGCGTGCGCTTATCCCTTTGGTGTTCAGCAAGGGCACCGAGCTCCAGAAGAAGTGGATGTCCATGATTCAGGACGCGGGCACGAAACCCGGCGAAGGGCACATCGTTAACGTCTGCAGCTGGACTAGCCGTGCGACGTTCGACGTCATGGGCTCGGCTGGTTTCGACTACGAGTTCAATGCGATCCAAAATGAGGACAACGAGTTGCTGAGAGCATACGTCGACATGTTTGAAGTCGCCGTCTCAAAGCAGAAGGGTGGGCTACGCACGATTCTTGTCATGTATATCCCGATCATAGACAAGATCTTGGTATGTTGGAAGGACAGACCGCTGAGGACTGGCTAACTGGACTCTTCTCACAGCCCAACAAGACCACGCGTTTCGTGGCGAGGTGCCAGAAAGTCATCGAGCGAGTTGCTGGCAAACTCATCCAGGAGAAGAAGCGTAAAATGGATGAAGCCGCACTCAAGGGCGAAGTTTACCATGGGAAAGATCTTCTTAGCCTGATGCGTGGGTACTCTTGTCCACTACAGTTGCAACATACGCTGAACTCCATCGCAGTGAAGTCAAACTCGTCCGTAGATTTGCCACCCGAGCAGCGCATCTCGGACGCCGACCTGCTGCACAACATCAACACCTTCATGTTCGCCGGCACCGACACGACCTCGCTCGGGCTCACCTGGACGCTGTACATCCTCGCGCTGTACCCGCACGTGCAGAACCGCCTCCGCGCCGAGCTCCTCTCTGTCGTACCCGGTACGCCTGTCGAGACGCTGATGCCCGAGGAGGTCCAGAGCCTGTACGCGGCGATCGCGGAGCTGCCGTTCCTTGAGAACGTCATTCGCGAGACGATGCGCCTCATTCCTCCCGTACATTCATCGATCCGCGAGGCGACGCGGGACGACGTCGTACCAGTGTCGACACCGCTGAAGCGGACGGGCCGAGACGGACGTGTTGTAGAGGAGAACGTGGACCATGTCTTCGTGCCGAAAGGGACGTTCATACATGTGCCGATCGAAGGGTTCAACCTTGATAAGGGTCTCTGGGGCGAGACGGCGTGGAAGTTTGAGTGAGTACGTGGTGCACACGGTGACGGTTCAGTTCTGACGCTTCGAGCAGTCCAGACAGGTGGAACGACCTCCCGGAGGCGATCAAGACGCTCCCGGGTTTGTACCAACACACGCTTACGTTTTCTGCGGGCCCTCGCGTATGTGCAATCCTCTCTTCTCCCTTCTCCCTGCTCATCAGGACGGACAGGCCTGTATCGGGATGCGTATGTCTGTCATCGAAATCAAATCTTTCCTCTTTACACTTGTCACCAACTTCAAATTCGCGCCGGCTCCTGACCAGAAGATTGGCAAGGCCAATGTGTGCGTCACTGTTGTTTTGTGCCATAACGACGAGCAGCTGATCCTCTTATATAGAATTCTGACGAGGCCATATGTCGCGGGGAGACAGGACGAAGGCAGTGCACTCCCGTTGCTTATCACGCCTTACGTGCCGGAGGGTGCTCTTTGAATCTTCCCTCTTACCTTGTTGGACTTCGGATGATACCCACTTCGTCTTCGATGTCGCTATATCTTAAGACCATGTCTGTATTGCGGTGTTGTACTACAGTTCATCTGTATTGCTTTCGTTCTATCATAGCCTCCACTGTGTTAATGAGGTATTCTTCCTTGTAGATGTCCAAGGCCGCCTTGTACTTATCCATCTTAGCACCCCATCTCCCTCTCAATATCCGTACGTCGCTTTGAGCCGCTCCTTGACGTATTCGCCTGCTGTGATGACCTCGTACATGGACGGTCGCTCTGGTGACACGCAGGTCGGTATCGACTATTGCATGATGTCTCAGAACCAGACCTCCTCTCCTACCAGGCTATAAAAGACGCACCTCGAGCTTCACGTCGTAGTCCATCCCAAAGAACAGAGGAATCGAGTACCGTTCGACGCCGCTCCTATTGATCGCGCGGTGCACGGTGGACTTGAACACGTCGTCTGAGCAACGGTTGAGTCAGTTGATCAGAGCGGCAAGGAGGGATGTGCCGTACTGGTCCAGCGCGCCAGCTGGTCAGCAATGTTGACGACGAAGGTGCCCGGGACTGGTGGAGCATCTACCCATTGAACTTTAGAGTTGAGAACCTGGAGGGCCTGGATGTCGGGTTCTTGCCAGAGTATCGTGAAGCACTAGGACACAGAAGATGTGACAGGGTATACAAGACAGCTAGATGAGTGACTTACCTCCCAGCTGCAAAGCGTGTCAGCAGGGGACATGAATGTGGCTTAGGATGATAACTTACTCCGTGTGTGCGCCGATGCCGATGACACGCTGATCTATCGGACCTGTCTGAGGCGGATAGTGAAGAACGCGCATAATCGCAGCGGAGTTCCGCGTCTGCAGCTGCGTAGTGAGTACAATGGAGAGATACGGTCGGAGAGGTAGTACGCATGCCTTGTCATCAAAAAAGTCAGGCGGGAGGTCGAGAGCCAAGGCAAAGAGAGGGAAGAGCTTCTTCCCCAACTTCACCGCATGGTGACTGCATTTCGTGAGCATCAAGCGCGTTCTGGTTGTCCACGGCTTACTAGTATGTCAACACGTCCGTCCGGAAGCTGGGCAGGTCTTCCGGCCAGACGTTGGCGCCAGCCATGACGCCGTCGTTTGCACGCTTCTCGTCGCGTTCCTTGGGCACCATCTCTTCCCAGCCGAACTCGAAGCCCTCGTGCATGTCGCCCATGTTCGCTGGGTTGTTGTTGCTGGACAGGACCGCGTTGTACCCCTTGAAGCCGGGGTTCTTCGTGATGTCGAGCTCGGCCTTCTTCTCGTCGGGCTGCGCGAAGAACTCCTTGGTCGCCTGATGGGCGTTGTAGATGACGTACTCTGGTATGCCATGGTTCTTGACTGGGTGTATTCAATTACTATTTTCCTGTACGGTACCGCTGTGATAGCTAGGGCTTACTGTAGAAGAAACCCACGTTCATGCAGGCGTCCCTGATCACTTGAGCGAGAGACGTGCGTGCGGCGGTATCATCGCTATTGATATCCGCCAGGTCTCTGTACGGCATTTTATTGAGGACGGAATAGACACAATAAGAGATCTGCATTTACTTACATGATAGGGATCTCGCTGAACGCTGTATTCGTTAGGCTCTTCGCGTGCTGCAGTACTGACATTGTGTGCTAAGTTATCAGAGGCTAGAGCTCAGCTCTAGAGTCCGTCCCTGTCTTTTCCGTACTTGGCCGTCGTAGTCGCTGATAGCTTGCAGCACACCCACAGACCACTTAAGTACTAGTAAGGCTGTAAGCGTCTATGCTATAGCAACAGAGACAAGTTCTTGTGAGCTTGTCAACATCCATCATGGACAACGTCAAGCTCCTCATGTTTCCATGTGCCTGCTATTGGGCGCGCACTTCCTCTCTCTGAACCACCAGAAATCTCTGCTAGAACGAACCTATGATACATCATAGTATAAAGACAGTACGTACGGCGGCGCATACTTTTGATAGCACAGCAACATTACATCATCAATTCATCATCGACACCACAAGTTCATTGCACGAAGAGTCAGTATGAGTGTCCACCAGCTGATGCGATGCCACCCTAAGCTTATTGTCCAACCAACCACTCCAAGTCCAACACTCAAAGAAGGTACGCCGTAGCCGCCAGACCACTCAAAGCAATCGCAGCGACAGACGGCAGGCTGTGAGCGGCGCCGTTCGAGCCGGTGGTCGTCGCCGACGTGGACGTGGACGCGTTCATGGATGCCGCCTCCGCAAGGAGGCTGGGGCACTGCGGCGCCACGAGCACGTTGCCGTACTCGGCCGCGAGGATGAGCACGACGCCGTTCGTCCAGCCGAAGCCTGCCTGGACAGTGTACTCGCCGCCGCTGCCGGCCGAGTTGGGGTCCGAGATCGAGAACTTCTCGAACATCTGCGCCAGAAGAAGAAGCCGTCAGCAACAGAGAAAGAAGAAAAGAAAAGAAAAGAAAGAGATGACGAGGACGAGCAA